TTAATCTATCGACCTCTCTTCTATCGCCAACTCTCCTTACAAGGCCGAAATGGCAATGCACACATACACATTTGCCACATAAGTAAAAACAAATTATACTTACAATAACCACAGTCACATGTCTATTAAAATAAAACTAGTTGCGCTGTATGCATGAGATTAATGAGATGTTAAATAAGATGTTTAATGAAAACTACAGGTTTAGCTCTCTAGAACATTCTTTTGTGCACAGATTATTTAGGATTTCTAACTTCTGCACAATGCTCACTTTTAACTGATCCCACATACCCGTCGCCGGTTTGAAGCAGTCAGATGAGAGACAGAGACACAAACATGCGTCTATTGACCCGACAGTCTGTACTAACACTGCAATTGCCCTCCAACAGCACCAGAAAGTCAGTTTATTTTCCTCCTGTTGTTGCAATCGGAAGAGTTGTCAAAAGCCAAACTTTAAAACAAGACAAAATGCCTAACAGCTTACATCAGACGTCCAGTTGAATCGCTGGACATTTAATCACTTTTAATCAAGTAAGGATGTGCTTTTATCTTTAAAGTGAATACTGTGCCCATTTTTCCCACTATTATACAAATTTGTATAAGTTAACCTGGTTGGATTGCATCTTATTGCTGTTTTTTCTGGAATTAAGATTATGATCGTCACTGTAGACACATCATGGCACTGTTTTGGGGGCGACCCGTGCGTCACACAATCAGACCTCTGCAACACTGGCCCACAGCCTTCAAAGACATCTTTATTTAGGCAGCAGAATGCTCTAATGTAGCGTTTCAGTGCCAAATGCCACTAAGTCACAGGAAGCCAAACCATAAAGATAATCGGAAACTATGATTAACAATCAGACAGAATAGTTGTGGCTGGACACTTGCAGTGACGCAACTGCTCAGTTTGAGCAACTATAAAAAGACTGCTACCTCCTTTGGGAAGATGACCAATTTGATAGTGAAGTGATGTCAGGCCCTAAACTGGCCAGTGATGGGGAAACACCTTGTGCATCATCAGTGGGGAGTTGAAATATAAATAGTGGAATTGCTATAAACAGAAGGACACTGCAAACCTGCCAGACTGTGAAAGTCACGGCCTTACAGAAGCCTCTCTTTCCCATTTCAACTCGATCGTGGTATCTGCATTGGGCTCATGACATAGCCTCTTACTGGCCACACACTCAGGAAGGACAGTCAACAAGGTGAAGGCGTGGGGAAAAAGTGTACCTGAGAATCAAGACCATGGAAAGCAAGATGGGAAAGGTTCATTAAGAATCCCTGTCCAGAGCAGGAGAGAGATGCTGCCTTTATTACTGTCACAGCGTTGGCAGTGTGAGTTTGATGCAGTGAGTGGAATGACTATCTAACAAATGTCTGTGGATGGTCTGCTTTCCTTGAATGATGTTTGTCATGGCTGCTTGAAAGTCAGGGCTTGAATTGGTTTTATTTTGTACAACATATCATTGAGCTGCATCCCATTCTCCTACCCTGCCTGTCAACCCCTTTGTCCTGACATCTGTATCCCTCCTCTTGTGCACACATACGAAGAACACTTGTGTAACCTGGAAGATCAAATTGAATTCTAATGTCTCCATTTCCATTTGAATCAAATCATTTCAAAACGAAGCCCCCAGAGGAAGAGCACACAAACACAGGGAACATGCAAACTCCACACACACAGAATGGCAAGGCTGGAACTGAGCTCCAGACCCTGCAGTCTAACTGCACATCATGATTTAATAAGGCTTGCCAAACGCATCTACACACACACTGGGTTCACTGCAAATGACTGAGTAGAGCAAAATAGTAAAGGTATAAGATATAAGAAAATACTAAAAATAAATTGAGAAGATTTTTTTGTGTGGTTATCTGAGGTAAGCCAGGAACCTTTGAGGAATTAAGAATAATAAGGGATATTACAGGTCATCAAAAATGTTTAGATCAACTAATTTCATCCTTTTTTGCTCAGTTGTTTTCATATCAGGTTAAGAAGAAGTTCATAAAAAGTTCACTTCCTGCAGAGGTTTCTTTTTGTTGGGTATTGAGGAGATCTATGAACCTGAAGCTTTATTTCCCTCACCAGTGCTGATCCCTGGGCCTTAGTGCTAGAGCATACTGGGACGTGATCTCTCTAGAACTGAAAAAGTGAGAAGTGAGATTTTGGGGTTGGGCAGACCTAGCAGCACAAGGGATTGTACCTGAGTGTCGGGCCCTGCATACGTGGTCAGTCACCACCACTGCGGTATTATGACAGCAGGCATAGTTTTTAAACCTTTCTGAAATGGAAAGATGTGTTTGGAAATTTTACTTCAGCCTCCGTGCTGTCCCCACACAAACTAAATCATTGATTCCTGGTATGCAGTAAAAATTTATTTTTGTTCATATCTGTATTTAGAATTTGTTTAAATTAAGAACATTCTAAACATTTTGGGGGGTTTAATGTCCTTTAGATTTTTTTAGACATGCTGTCATTATTTGCCACTGTTTGAGCCCCAGTATAGCACATGGAAACTGAAACCTGAGATACAGATCGCCATCTAGGGGCAGAATGGCTGCACCACAGCTTCACCCAGCAAAGAAAAACTACTCTCTTTCCTATCATACACTACTTCATCTTCAGAGTTTGCAACAAAGCAGTCAAAAGGACAAATATGAAATATGATAGTAGGGGCACCTTAACTAGTTCTCTCTTACAGTTCTTCAAATTTTCTTCAGTTTTACTTGAATATACAAAACTTAAACTGAAAATGTTTTTTCATAGAGATATTTTGTGGGGCACCAGACATTTCTTACAGCCCTCAAAGACATTTCTTAAAGCTTCAAAGACATTTCTTAAAGCCCTCAAAGCAAAGAGTATAGCGTCCAGCTGACTCAGTCATGTATATTCAAGGAGTTTGAATATTTTGGCTGCAACAGGTTGAACACCGTGATCTTGTATTCCTAAAACTTTATGACTTAAGTTTTCCATTACAATTTTATTTTCTCAAAAATTAATGACTGCCATCCCCTCTGCCTCTTCACTCAGCTAAGAAGCAATTCTGGCCTAAGTGCTTTTGGTTTCTTTCTTCTTCTCCATACAGTATATTAAAAACAAAGAAAATGTCTTATTAGATTAAATGAACACCTGATGTAATTTACTGCGTTGTAAGTAGCAATAACTACATCTTAAGCACAACAATATATGCAAGTTTAACTTTGAAGAAGTGACTTGCAATAAAAACCTCAATGCTTATATGAATTTGACAAAAGGCCAAAAATGTTATACATCTATCCGAAGTGCAGAGCCAAAGAGAAGTGACATTTATGTTGTATAATGCAAACCTTTTCTAGAAACTTCTTGTACAATTCTGGGCATCACATTAAAGGTAAATGATTTTGTCATACTAGCACTAGCTGAAAGAAGGGCAACATGATTAGTTCCTGGCCTTAAAGGGGTGTTGTATTCATGTTAAAGAAACTGATTCTTTCAATCCCTGAACAGAGGAGATCATGCTGAACTTAAAACTTATAAAATTTAAAAAATTGATCTTGATAACATCATGTCAGAACCAAGACTCGATCAAGAACACAAGAAAATTAACAGGAAATGCACTGAGAATGCAAAATAAGATGCACTTCTTTGTAGAACATTCTGTCTAGAACAAACCTGCCAGACATGCTGTTGATGTACATATATTCCCCAAGAATACTGTAGAAATGGCACAATTGAGATCCTTATAGTCCAGAGTTATTAGGGAGATGAACCGAAAGGGCTACTTCTTTGAAAATATTTATATAGTGACTTTCACTCTACAGACATTTTGGTAATGAAGGTCATGACTTCTTATGCATGTTGTCGTTTCCACATGGCCCTAAAAAGCATTTTGAATGTTTAATTTATAATGTTGTATAGCAGTTATGAAGGCATTATGAAGTCATTATGCAACAACATACACATAAAAACATTTTTTTATTCATGATTTCATTTTTATGTTGAATGTAACTGTTTTGTGATTGTATTTAACCTCAGGGTTGTAGAGACTGGGTGTTAAAAACAAAAAATTAATGTTAAATTCCCAAGGATGATTTTTTTCATCTTGGTACTTGTGAATTCCATCCTGAAAGGGCCCCTCACCTCTTTTGCTCTAAGGTACACTTTATTTTTTACTAGATAAACTGAAACTCAGTGTACACCAAAACCTTCACTGCTCCACAGTCATGGCATTATCATGGCAAAACCAGAACTGGAATTTTAATTAGTTTCCAAATGGGGGGGGTTGGTCTGAGGAGAATCTGTTCTAGTGCCTTTGCTTCAGATCTGCCTATGCTGTCACACATCATGTGAAACACTACAATAGACTCAGCACGACTCTTCACCATAACAAAATATTCCCCATGATGCATTTCTTTAAAAATAAATCCAAAAAACAGTATGTCATTAACAATTATTAAGTGATTTTCTATTATATGTTCCACAAAAGTGTTTTTTTTTTACTGTGTTCTTAAACAATGTGACTATGTTTTTAAATATCTTACTTTTTTGGACTTTTACAGTTTTAATGGTAACAACAGTGTACACAGGTCAATCAAGGCAGGCTTTCCCACAAATAAAGATTAAAAACACTTTTGTTGCTAATAACTTCAAAGAGTCATATTTTCCAATGCTAAATAGGTTCATGCTGAAACGGATTGTCTGTACATTGCCGTGACAGTGCAGCTTGATTCAAGAACTTTCAAATATGAACAATATACTGCTTTGGCAGATGGGCATTAGGATATATTTTTAATGAACAAGTTAGACCCTTAACATGTTCCAGTTTCCTCCTAGATTTCAAGCACATGCTGGCTAGGTTAGTGGGATTTTCTCTGTGTATGCATGCATGTACAGTTGTGAGAAACTGGAATTACCTGGATTTCTGCATGAATGGCTCCTAAAATGTAATCTGATCTTCATCAAGTCATAATTATAGATAAAGACAGTCTTATTTAACAAACAACAGACACAACATTTTACGCTGTCATATCTTTATCGAACAAATGGTTTAAACAATCAAGGTCATTGATGGAAAAAGTATGTGACCCTCTAGGGTAATGACATCTTGAAAAGAGGGTAATTGGCGTCAGGTATTCCAATTAATGAGTCACGTGTTCCAATCAATTCAGGTCTGGGTTTGACCTGCCCTGCTGTATAAAAAAAAATCAGACAATTATGGTTACCTGCTTTTCAAAACGGAAGTCTGTTGAAGTGCAATATTGCCTGATCAAAAGAGATTTCAGAGGACCTCAGAAAAACAGCTGTTGAAGCTCATAAGACTGGAAAGGGTTACAAAAGGATTTCTAAAGACTTGGGCCTCCATCAGTCCACAGTCAGGCAGATAGCTTGCAAATGGAAGAGATTCAGCACTGTTGTCATTATCCCTAGTAGTGGGCATCCTACAAAGTTCAGTGCAAGGGCACAGCGTACAATCCTCAAACAGGTGACAAAGAACCCTAGGGTGAAAGCTAAGAATCTGCAGGCATCTCTTGCACTTGATAACATCTGTGGTCATGAGTCTACCATAAGAAAAACACTGAACAAGAGTGTTGCTCATGGAAGGTTACCACAGAGGAAACCACTGCACTCCAAAAAAAAAAAACATTGCTGTCCATCTCAAGTTTGCAAAAGACCACCTGGATGTTCCACAGCACTACTGGAACAATGTTCTGTGGACAGATGAGACAAAAGTTTAACTTTTTGGCAAATGTATACAGCGTTGTTTGGAGAAAACAAAACACCGCATACCAACACCAAAACCTTATCCCAGCTGTGAAGCATGGTGGAGGGAGTATAATGGTGTGGGGCTGCTTTACAATTCCGGGACAGGTTCCAGGCTGCTGCAACTCTTCTCTTGAATAAGTCAGCTTCTGACTCAGGATTTCTAAATGGAAAAATGAGTGAAAATTCAAAATGTACGAAAAAGCAACTCATTTAACGTAAAATTAACACTATACTGAAAAAATATTGTAACGCAACGGGGGCTCGGGCGGGCGCCCTTGCTGCATTAGGTCGGCCCCTGCACCGTCCGGGGCTCGTACCCGGGACTCCCGCGTCTCTCTGCAGCGACCTAGCCCCGTGAGCCAAAGAGAGATCTCTCTACAGCCCAGTAGCTGTGGTCCTGCTATCACAGGGAAGGGCGGTGACGTCACCCGCTCTGGTACGCCGGCTCTTACACACAGTGCTTGTCGGCCGTAAGCGTTACAATATGATTATAATTAGTTTTACATAAAACTTACTCTTTACTGCTGCACTACTCATATGTTTATAGTCCAAAGGAGAAATGTGGGGGAAGTGGGAATGTCACTGGATTTGGTCAGTGGGGCTAAAACGAGGAAAGCAATAACAGAAACAAAAGGATTTTAGACCTCTTCTCTATGTGGGCCAGACTGACTCATATCTCTGTTCTGTTTTTCTGGTTATTTTATTTCTCATTTAAGTCTAATTGTAAGTTACTGGATTCTATTATTAAACTGTAGATTTGAATCAGAATACTTATAGCATTTCCACATTAATCATTTTCCAGGATGACACAGAAAAGAATTATGCAACCTGTTTTACTGCTGCAAACCCACAAACATGGCCCTGGAGACAGCGGATATGCTCCTATCACCTGCAGTGCTGTGCTCCTGGGATTTTCACAGCCAGGTACTGGCCAACCCCAAGCAGCTACAGTAATTACCACTTATCCCATCCAGTCCTGAAATGTTCAGCCAAATATGGGCCACACTTCGGAACCGCTTAATGGCCTTGAACCAGCAGTACCCCAAGTTGCAGGGCTCATCCTGTGCTCTGAAGCAGAACTGCATAGATTGCTATTATTTCCTAAATCAGTGAAGCATTCCAGCAAATACTGTGAAACTTTCAGACATTAAACATAGGTAAGACAGAATTTATACCCCTTCCATTCAAAGAGTTCAACACATAAATCATTTCCCAGCATGATTCTTTTGCGTTCTGTACTTAGTGTTTTGGAGTAAAGGATAATGACTGTACTACAAAACACAAAGGACAGAATGCAAAAGAATTACAGAAATCATGAAGTCTGCTAAAAATAACTTTCTGCTCCCTGTACAAAAATAACATTAATTTAAGGCAGACAAAACTTAATCATTGTGTTACCTTGCTGGCCTAGATAGCATTGCTGTCTCACCCCACTGATGCCCTGGTTTTAATCCTGGACCTGGGGTGTTATCTATGTGGAGTTTGTGTGTTCAATTCATGTTCACAAAGGCTTGCTCAGGGTGATCCAGTTTCCTCCCACAGTCTAAAAACATGCTGGTAGGTTAACTGGGAAAGCTGGCCCCGGTGCAGGTGTGTCTGTGTGTATGTGCCCCATGATGGATTGGTGTCCCATCCAGGTTGTACCCTGCCCAGCACCCATTCTTTGCCAGGATAGGCTCCAGCTGACTTGGACCCTGAACTCGAAAAAGCAATTAGAAAACAGATGGATGAAAAACTTATGGAGCATGACTTAGAGAAGTTTAGAAGTGTAAAGCAGTAGCTAATACAGGATAATTTATTCCAGTACAGCTGTATCTCTAGGAAAGATCTCTACTGTTAAATCAAAAGCTGAATCATGCTAAATGTACAGGGGAGGTCACAATGTACATTCTCACAGTTCAGTTAATAGTTTTTATGGTGATTAAAATATCAGCATAGATCCAGAACAATTGTGTATTTTTTTTATGAATAGAACAGCACAAGCATCTTCACTAGCTCAACCACTTAAAGACCACTTACATGGATTTGTTATTGCCCCATTTGAAGATAATTTAACAAATGATACTTTATTAAGGTATTGAATGTGGTCAGCTGCATATAACTATAGCTTTATTCTTGTTTATTTAGGAATGCTTCCTGTCCAAAAATGTTGGAAAAGATTCCATCCTTTATTTTGATTTTCAAAGACATACAGTAGTAGATCCATATCCAATGCACATATCTGTATCTTTTTATTCTTTGGTAATGGTAAAAAATCCAGTTTAGTAAACTTTTTTCTTCATGATCATTTACTGTGTGATATTATGTTAATAAAATATAAAAAACCTACAAATATTACATGCAGTTTAAGTAGAACAGATTCATCCTATAGCGTAATGCAGTTCAAATAAAACGTAAGAATTGTTTAGTGGGTGAAAGATTTAACAATTTTAATTTTAACCTGCCTTAATGACTAAACAGCCTAATGATGGAGTGGAGGCGGAGATGACAAACTGAGCTCAAGAACCCCGGTATTTTTTAGTATAGTACTGTTAAAGCAATGGTGGATGAATGGTGAATGCATTTTCACTTTGTCCAGGAAATTACCACAGGAATAAGCATTCACAATGTTAAATAACTATCACATCGTATTCTGGAACTTCAGAGTCAACTTATCTGACTGTTTATTATGATTTTAGTTGATTTATTGTCTAACGGTTTATCAGTGAATCATGACTAACTGACATCTGGGCAGAAAGCTGCTGCTAAAGAGCGAACTTCACAGCAGCTGGATACATTTCAGAAAATTATAAATTTGCCATTTGGAAAACAAGCCCTACAATTAACCAACCATTTAGCAAAACTGGACATTACTTGGCTCATCTTTAAGAGGTGAGAAAATAACGACTTTCTGCAAACATTAATATGTAAAAAGTAGGGGTTCAAAGGCGGAATCTGAGAATATATTTGACAGATGTGAGCAACTGAAAGGTTTTGAAAACACAATCTGACCATTACCATGAAGCTTTAACAGCAAAATAATGAAACCACAAAAATGTGTACAATGTGTGGAAAAATGAAAACTTTGGTGCCTCATATGTACCGTATAGAGATTCTGTAACACTGGACTTTGAGGGCTCAGTAAATAACTTTATTAGTAGGAGTACAATGCAAAGGAACAAGTTTTCCTTAATATTCTTAAGGTAGCTTTCATTTATATAAAGAAATAATTTGGATTTTTTCTTTTAAGTTGCGAAAGGTCAGATAAATATTTTGTTTATGTGAATACATTTTAAGATAAGTACCCCCAATGATTTTGAAACTCGATGCGAAATGATAAACACTTCCATGTTTAGCTGGATGTGCCTCAGAGCCAGAAAAAGGACAAAATCAGTAATCAGGACAGTATCAGTCAAAAGCTTACATATTGACACATATACAAACTATAATAAGAAAGATAACTGTAACATCCTAAAAGCAAATTTAAAATATTTGATTACGTAGCACTAGATGAGCAAAACATTCAAAATGTGGCAAAGCATTTTTTTCCCATCTGTCTGCTGTAAACTGCCCTAGAATACCATTAAATGTACTTTTTTACTATATATATATACACACATTGTAAAAATAAATGTTTTTTTGTTTTATGCAAGATTTAAATAATTAAAAGGTCATTTCTGATAAAAGCCCTTCTCTTCTTTTAAGAGAATAGCTGTAACCATAACGCAGAGTCATTTGAGTAACTGGTGAAACAAACGATTACCCAGCTCTTTTATAGGACTGAGCATTCTATAGCAGTTTTAGGAACTGCTGATTTAAAGAGCGGACACTTGGAGCTCCTTGTTGACACGTCCAAGATTGAGGGTTTAGAGTTCTTTTAAAATGGGGAAATGCAATATTAAAAAGGGTTTAAAAAGAAAAACTTAAAGGAAAACAAAATAGGGTTAATGGAAAGGGGGGAGCTGCACTTTTTCATTTTCATTAGAGCCTTGCAGTTCCATCTACTCAGTATATATACTACAGTATGTATATTGTATATATACTACAGTATCCACTCTGACGGCAGGCGGAGCAACGCGCCGGTTGGAGTATTCTTGGTCGCATTTAATGGCAACGTCAGCTCAAAGATTTGGTTCAAACCACCAAATGGAGACGGGCGTGCCGACAAGCGGACCCTGCTGATGCAGGATTAACACCAGGATGAGAGAGAGAGAGATATACTACAGTATATATACAATAACTTGGGTTTTAAAAAGATGTTGCCCAATTATGATGCTCCGGGGGATAATCTTATTTCTAGGACAGCATTTATATATTTTACAGAAATGTCACTAAAAAACTATTTCCTGCATCTAATCAGTTTCTGTGTGCGTGGCACCACCACTACAGTGTTTCATTCCTATGCAACTGGTCCAGAATGTGGATAAAGACCAAGGCACACAGGTCCCCTCACAATACAGCTTAAACATTGTCCATACTCCATGAATTGAGATTTAAAACCTGACCATAAAATGTGCATTAAAAATGGACTGGATGAGAATAATAATGAAAGAAAATGTCTTCGTATTCACAGGGCCACACATAACACACATCACATTTTCAAACTTTCCCTTAAACCACACTTAATTGCTTTTGAATAAGCGTTTTAGAAAAGCGTTAACTGCTGAAACCCACTCGTTTCACTTTTGAACCGCTACACCTGTGAGCATTGCATCCATCCGAAAGTGAGCAACAGGCCTTCATGGTTGATAAGGAAATGGCGTGACTGACACATTAATGGTGACACGTACAACATAAAAGCATAGGAAGACAAGATAAATGTAATTATAGATGCACATACAGTCTACTTTCTGGGTAATGCACAATTTTGGGAAAAACAGGCAAAAGCCCTTTAATGTGATACTAAAGCAATTTCTGGCATTACAAGCAATAAATAACGAGATATTCCCAATTCAAAGGAGAAGTAGTAAAGAAGTATTAAGAAGTCTGAACTCTGATCCATTTACCCCGAGCAACAGAACAGTGTTGGAAAGAATATTTGCATATACTGATTTCAAAAGAACTCAGGCACTTGAATTGAACTGAGAGGCAGCAAAACATGTCCAAGTGGACATGCAACAGCTAAAAGCTTTAATGAGGTGCAAAGTGAAAGGCCACAGCAATAATTGAGAGCAAAGGAAAAGAACTGCTCCAATTGGTTTCAAAAAGGCTCTGAAGTCAATTTTGATCCATATGCTAAAAATCTGTAATGTTCTATCACAAGAAAACCCTTCACCAGTACATAAGAGATAAAGAGACAGATCCTGGCTTTCAGAATGAGTACACTAGTGTGTAAAATGGTCATAGCAAAAGGGTGAAATGAATTACATACAACTCGCATAAGTAATTGATCAGGGGCGCCACCAGCAGGATTTTTGCTTTTATAGAGCCTACATAGGTAGAACTGCCTATGACATCTCCCACTCACAAAAAGCATATGCTGGTGGAGAATGCAATTTTAATTCCAAAAAGGTTGGAAAGATGCCTTTGAAAAGTAGTGTCCTATAGGTGCATCTATCTGGAAAAAACATACTTTATTAGCCAATGTGTATGTAATGTCAAATTGTTTTGAAACATTTGTAATTTAGAACAGGGATTCAAAGCACCAGATTATATAAACCAAAATAAAATAATTCCTTCCAGGCACCTTCAATTGATATTCACCAAGAAAGCTAGGATAATAAAGAAAGTAAGAAGCGATTAAACAAATTCAAAGAGCTTTATTGGAAAGGCCAATGAGATAGAGTGTTGCCAAAGCCAATAAAATTAACGTTTACAGTAGAAAAAAAAAACATTGAATGTCTATATCACATAAAACGTTGTGAGACAGGCTTACTCACAGCTCCTCAGGATATGACATGAGATCACATTCTGGACTGCAGCGTTGCTGAGTTTCATCCCTCCTCCCCCAGTAGGACTGGAAGCTGTTCGGACTCTGGCAGGTATAGGAATTCTGGGATTAGATGTGTTATTTTAGGGACGAATATTTGTCTTATCCCAGAGTATTTCTCAATGCAGCAGGAAGGGCATCTTCCTGCTGGCATTGGGAGCACAGCCTGTACTCTCTGGGCAGCCAGGTCTCCGTGTTGCACCCAAAAGGACGGAAACAAACCCAAACCAAATCTGACAGTTCCTCCCTCTAATGAGTTATCCACAGTATAACTAAGAGCAAATCACATTCTTCATATACTCTTTTATTGTAAACACAAACGACAAAGTCAAGGTTATAGTTTTATAGGTTACATAAAGATCTTAAATTCACATGTACTCAATATTGTACCTGGTTGTATGTCCCAGATTGTTAATTTGGTTAAACTAAAAATTGTAAGTAACTCCTGGTTTAAAGTGTGTGATCTTTTTGATACTGAATCTCTTCTTCAAAGTTGCGGACAAAAAGAGTATCCAAATCAGATGTCTAAGTACCACATAAAGAGAAGTTAATCATATCAATTACCACTGGTTAACTATGACTGTTCAACAGACCTCTTAAAAAGCCAAAACATAAACCAACAACAAAATACTACAAAGTACAGGGAAAATGGCTAAAAAGTGCAAAATGTTTTAAAAACAAAGGGATTGTAAATCTTGGCACATTGTGATCTGGTCCTGCAGTATCAGACCTATTTTCAAATCTTCAGCTCTTTGACCTTTATACAGTACAAGGTTTAATTTATGGGTTGTTTTTGGTAAGAACTGAGTTTGTCTTCCTGTCCTTAACCATCTCCTTCCACCTCCATTAAAGACAGAAATTAGAATAAGTGCTCGTCTTGTACCCAACATCCTTTTAAATGTCAATCTCTAAATCATCCTCTTACTGGTAAGTGTACTCATATCTCAAATAGGAAAAAAAATACACACACCCAAGTTCAACAAGGTGTTGTCCAACGGAAGGTGATTAGAAAAAGATAAAAAATACAAGAGGCATACTCTCAACTGCATTATGATTGATTAAACTGTCAACAATAAAGCACAAATAGGGGCATCTTAAATCCAGAATATTTGAGATTTCCAATACTGTCAGTTGTAAAAACTATCCTGTTGCTTCACATTTCCTCGAAATTTCAATTAGTTCTGTTAGATACTAAAGTATTGAGAAGGTTTAATTATTTACAGCAGGAAAGGATGATAAAGATTTTAATTGAACAATATTACTTAGTATCTCTAAATACATGGGCTCTATATGGGATAAATGTGAAATGTATTTAATTCATTGCCCATTATATTTGCAGTAATAGTTGGGCATAAAAAGACATCTAAGACATCTAAAATTTCAAACCTCTTAATGAATGGAACTTCTGGTGGGCAACTTTGTAATTAGATGTAATTGATTTCAATCACTATCACCTGTTCTACAGCTGCTTTACTAATGATGATGGTCAACGTTCGCACTGAGGTGGTGTAGGAGCTAAAGACTGAACTATGTGATACACACCTAAGATTTGCTGGAGAAAGAAGGAAAGGGTACTGTGAGACCCAGACAGATGACAGAAAAAAATATTTGGAGGAGCCAAAATATTGGCCATAAAGGTCAGCTCATAAAAGTTGGAATATTACAAGAGATGAGCCTGTTTTTATAGCAGGCTTGTCAGTACTACCTTTTTCCCCACCCTGAGAATTAAAAACAGCCCTAATTTGTTGCTTAGAAATACAGGACTGAAGCTGTTCTTCAGATTGTACTGGAAATTAAAAGTGTAGAAGACACCTCTTCTCTGACATGTTTGACAGTTGGGATGGAATTTTCCGAGACAGTGGGTGTTTGTGCACCTTTCCAGCCAGATTCAGACCCTAGAAAGATGATGTGTTTAGAGCCCTAAGAGAAGTTAAAGAGTGCCTGCAGTGTTCCGTCTGCTCTTTTACAACATTAAAAAATATTTTAATTTAATCAGGACTGCTATGTTAGACATGAGGCAAAGCATCTTTGAATTCCTTGAAATTTTTATATTTGTAACAGGTAAATATTTGGAAATTCTTAAATACATGCTGCAGAAAATTAATTTCAAACACGAGTAAAATCCATTTACATTTGTAATTTTAAACACCTAACAAGCAAGGCTATTCATGTTTATCATCCTCCTCTCAACCAATGTAAGAAAGAAATACCTTTTATCAGTAAGTTATACCTGTTTTAAGTAAACATTAAGATTCATCAGATAAGTCAGCTGAGAACAAAATCCATAATTAAGGATTGGATGCAAAGAAGACAAGCAGTGGAAGATCAAGGTAACCTAACCCTGTGAGGTTCAATACCACGCCCTCACGGAGAGATGCTCCTGTCCTGTCAACCACAGGGTTTCTCCACCTCTCTCTGTGGAAACTATCCAGTCTTGTTATGCATCAGGAGTCTGAACTGATGTTACCTTCTAATAGTGCAAGAGTGCACAAGCGGAAAGTTCCTGCATAAGGCACATATGAAATGCAAACAGGACTTGTGCTTACCACATTGAGAGAACTGTGTCTCTTCACCCTCGCCCTGCCTTTGCGTGAGTGGAAGGGTAAACCAGAAAACTGGAAAACAGAGGTGTTTCACCGAGACTGCGCTGCAGTATTCTAATCAGGTGTTTTCAAGTGGAACATTTTAAGGGTTAAATACGAAACTATGCTGAACAGAAGAGCCAGTTTAGCAACAGAGTGATCATTTGTAGCGAAATAATCATGTAAAATGTGAAGATGGAACATCTTGGCTTTACACAAGGTGAAGGAAACCTTTCCAATATGAACGTAAATATCATTTACATGGTTACATTTTGAATTTTTCTATGGTAGTTAAGATGCTAATGTAGGATTTCTGATTTTACTCTTTTACTGCTTTATTGTTCATCTGTAATGTATGCGGTTCTTCCCCAAGCCCACAATTTTTTTTTACTATCTAATGAAATAAAATCGAATAATGAGTGACCTTATCAAGAATAGATAGTTTCACAACTGCAGTGGGTGGGTAGCCTGATGGTCCAGATTTGTCATAAGAGGCCCAGAGAGCAGCTTACTTTCAGGCCTGTGTAGAATCTAAAACTGAGCCACATTTCCATTTTTACCATGTTAAAAAAATTCCAATTAAAAAAAATGCACAGCTTTGAATAAGGCCTCAGCAATGTAATAGCTTCAATGAAGTATCACAAACCACCTGATTAAAGTTTGTAAAACATTTCTCCAGTCCTCTATGTGCTTCTGTTCCAAAATGGGGGAAAATAATCTGTGCTTCAGACACCAAGAACCAAATCGTTTTTTTCCCTTCTTGTATCGTATTACATGACACTTTTCTTTCAAGAAAAATAAAAACTCCCAATTTTACAAACCCAAAATAAAGTGGTACTTTTATATTGACATTCAGTAGTTTTTGTTTTTTAGTTGGTGCCTTCAATCCTTTTTTTTTGGGGGGGGACAAAACTTTGATTTGTTGGTTGTATAAAATAAACTTGAGATGAGATGAAAGGCTTATTTTATATCAAAATGCTCAAACACCTGCAGCACAGTTCTCTCAGTTAAGAATAAAATTTTCCTAATTGATCAACCCTTTAAGTATAAAGTCATCTTAGAGAATATTGAACTGGCGTCAGGCTCATCTAAATCACTGCTAATACCTTGCATAAGGCATGGAATAAGGAAGCAACACTTCGGGTAAATTAATCAAATTAATAAAACCATCTTATTTCCAGAAATAGGGATGTAAAACACTACAGTACTCTGACACCAGTCTTCAGTGGGGACGTTTGAGCAGGAAGAGCTTCTATTACACACAGATAACAGCATACTGCACTGTACATGCACACTCACAAATTTGCACATATAGTTTAAAATAGTTCTATAAAGATGACTGCAGGCCTGTGTTGGGTCTCATTATGGCACTAGTTTCCTGTATTTTTAAATACTGTAAAAAACACAATTTTACTTCCAACATGGAAGAAACCTGATGTGTATTTGTATGGTATGGCATGTCTTCTACCAGAAAATTTACAATTTATAGAGGATTGAGAGCACAATATGTATTACACACATATGAGAAGATGCAAACTGGAGTCACAAAAAGTGATTTCTTTTGCTTTTTTAGGATTCTTCTAATTAAGCAATTAAAGCAGTCAAAGCACTGACACTCCAGAGAGGGCAAAATGCATTTCAGGTGGCGGCAGAGACATGTCTCGTTCCCATTATGATTTAAGTTTCCTCTGGAGGTTCCAGGCATTGATAAAGAATTTTAGCACTGGGGTATCAAGCTAAACTATATTTATAGGTTCACTTTAAATATTTGAAAGCCAAGTTATCAGAAAAATAAAAAAACCTATCAAATTGTTATATTTACCCAGATGGGAAATAAAAAGCATTGCTGGCACACTAAGCCAGTTAATATATATTAAATGTTTCGCCTGTTATTTGTGAGGCTAAACAAATGATCTTATGCTAATTTTAATACTGTACAATAATCACACTGCTCTTATTATATTGAAACATCCTTGTCTCTCTCACACCTGAAGAAGGCTCCATGGCCGAAACATTGTGTTTTCTCTCTTCTTTTTTTCAGCATGGAATAAACCTATTACTTGTTCCTTTGCAGCCTACGCATGCTGACGCAGCTACCCACCTGAACTACTAAGAAACAAAGATTCCACAACATCACGATCTTTCTACACTACTACAGCTGACATACCATCTGGGACATGGCAGTGCCTGATTCAACTGGGGAGGAGTATAAGCAGACAGTCAAGGGTTTTGCCTGACAAACATCCTTATTAGATCTTTAAAAGGTGAGGTTTAGCCAATGTGCTTTACAACTGCTGAATTGTGAAGATGATGATGGGCAGCACTGTTCAACATCTCGAACACACACACGTGAAGCAGCTCCAATACACACCTTACAAGCTACTTTCATGTAGCCACAATGCTGTGCCCCCGAAATGGAGAGATCTTTCATAATCTGCGACTTTGGCAAATGTCCAAAAGACCAATAATACAAACTATAGATACAGAGGAACACCAAGGGAGCTGCCTGGTTTTCTGCACAATGGTTGTCTACTCCCTCAGGTACCTAAATAAGCACAATAAAAATGCATACATGATATTATAACTCAGATGGGTTATTAGATGTATGTACTGTACAGACAAAGGCCAAAACATTATGGCTAGACTGTCCCTATATATTTATGTGAACCTATTCCGAGTCTGAAAAGTTCTGTGACCGAGTGCAGCTTTATTAACCTTTTGACAAATATCAAGGCTAAAAAAATAAAAGACAAAAGAAGTTTCACTCTCACCGATATACACACATATATATATACACTGTAGACTCCCACTTTTATGGCTGACTTCTTAGTGAAGACAAAGAAAATGAAATATTTACTCAATAAAAGCTTGTCTGAGTAAGAAAGTAATCTAGAAATCAGTCAATTGTTTTTTAGTCAGGCTGGAGTCCCTTCTATTGGACTCTAGATTTTTGCTAGATTTTGCCATTCCTGGTTGATACAAGCAGAGACTGCCTGTCTGTCAGTCAAGGGGTACAGATCTAACTCCTGTCTAGTGTTCATTGCTGCACAGAGGATTATACTACTCTCTGGCCTTCCAGGAAGAACATATTAATGACTTGTATGCATATAGGGACAGAAAGTTTCAGGACCTGACATATATTGCTTATCGTCATCATCATCAAATGTCCCCCCTTGTTTGTATCTGTTCTTATGTCCTGGACTTTAAACCTCACCTTCTTTTAGCTTAAATAATGGCTTATGTGTGCACATGTACTGTAGATATAACAGAACCCCTAGCTTTGTTTCTGAGCAGTTGTATGTTAAATCTCTCTGCCTCTCTACTGTACCATCCACATGATCTCTACCATGCGGTGGTTTTGAAGTCAAACTCAAGACTTATTTTCTTTTCAGACTTTATACCATTGAATGTCCTGCAGCTCTCCAGATATGAGCTGAATAACTTTAAGTTCAAAATAAAAAATAACCAAAGACTATATGATTTAGTGGTACCCCAGTTACATTTAATTCTTAGCTAATGCACTGTTAAATGAGAGTCAAGGGTTGTCTGTAACACTTTTTAGTATTTATGAATATTTACATAGCATTCACAATGTTTCAGTTAATGCTGTATTAATTATCTGTTAATTATTGACTGTTGTTTCCTTTCACAAAATAATATTTTGTAAACAGTTCTTTTTATTCTTGGTGCAGACTTTAATACAGTTGCCTGTACCTGTGCACCCTAGGTGCCTATTGTATAGGTATTGTATTGCCCTTCTTGCCTGTTTGGTGTCTAGTACCGTAGCTTAATGATCCAAGACACCCACCGAGCCAATTTCTAAAGAATTTCACACCAACAGCTTTGGCAACTTTGACTTAATTGAATAAGAAGTCCAATAAGCTGTGTTCCGTGTCTTAATTAGATGCTAACTGAAATGTGCATCTAAAACATGGGTGTCCCATCCTAATCCTGGAAACAATTGTTTCTGCAGGCTTTTAAGGTCCAGTTCATTAAGAGCCAAACTGGAATGAAACCCTCAGACACACCGGCCCTCCAGCACAAGGAACACACACCTCTGTGGTCAAATCTGGCACTCGGGGAGCTTGTAGCTTTGTTGATCTTGAAGATGTACTGTAGAACATTATTTGATCTCATTTTGTAACTGCAGAAATCGTATCATATACCAAAAGGCATTAAATGTGCCAATGAACATTAAATCCAACAGCTGTTACTGTGTTTTAATTCCTCTAACCACACTTTGTTATGTCCTGTATATTAACAGTGTGAAGTTGCAGGCGGTTGAGACCGAAAATAAAAAGAGTGAAGGCTGGTGAGAAAAAGAAAAAAATGAAAAGGACAGGGAGACTGAATGAAAAAGGAAAAAAATCTTAATGGCAATGATTCTTCTGCGTCGTAGTATCAGGGAATGATGATATGTAGAGAAAAGGAATATATTTTAGTCGATTAATAGCAGTGCGATCGCTAGAGTTAGACTCTAATGATGGAGCAGAGATTCAGGGTTCTGAACAGACTGAAATAAATTAATTATTTACTCAATTGGGAACTAGATCGGGAGCCTGATTGAAAAACCGAAGGGTTAATTGTACGGCTTCCTGTCCTACAGTAGCTAGAATGTCGGGTTGAGAGCTCTTAGGAATTTTGCTGTTGCTGTTGAATTTTGGCGCAGGCATTACAAACAGCATCTTTGTCAATTTTGGAACAAGAATAAAAATATAATTATGACACAGATACAAATACATAAAGTAGACAGATTGACCAATTGAACCCTGTAAGACTATGAAAAGCACAGTTTACTACAAGAGCACATACTATACTGTACATAAAGGAACGAGGAAAGGCCTGACGGTCACTAAGGGGGCGACTGGAACCCCAGCACCAGCTTGTTTTCTGCACCTGACTTTGATAAATGTTGGATTCTACATTGGTGTAGACTGTGGGTTTCCCTTCATCTGTTTTCTGTCTTGTGACCACTGTGGATCCTTGCTGCCTGCTTCTAATCATGGCTGACTTCTCACTTCGAAAGCCATCTTCATGGGTAACCTTACTAAGTTTGACTCCACCCTTGCTCTTTGCGAGGTGTTGCATGAAAAAAAGTTCCTCGCCATATAAAAAGGCATTCGACACAATTCAAATATTTTGCCGTGTTGGGGGTGGGATTCTGCACAGAGTAACTATCAAAAACAATTTTGAACTCTAAATTTTTCAGATATATTTTTTCAATTAATGTAAAAGCTTCAAGAGAAAGGTCACAAGCCCCCTAGACTATTACTCAAACTGAGTATCCACTTATTAACCACCCCATTCATTTGTAGACACAAATATGCTCAATACTTTACAGAGACACACAAAACTGAACCACACTTTCACTGGAAAGCATCTGTCCACAGTCTCACTCCCACTGTAGAAGAGCCTATGCCCTGTATTCAGAAGATACTGTTTCAATTAAAATCTCAGTCATCCATCAAAAAGGCCAGAAAATGCACCATCTTTAACACTGTTTTCATTTAATTTACTATTTAACCCAATTAACTCAAGGGTGGTTAATTAGGGGTCCTGCTCTGTCAAAGTCCAGGAAACTCCAGCTTGTACTTTCCCATCCTCAGCTAAAAAAGACATAAAGGGCAGATTTTTAAATGATATCAAAAACTAAATGACAACACAAGGCAAAGAGATCAAAAGACACAGATGTGTTAGAAAAAAATACAAAAGGAGAATGTCACATGAGAATTAAATATACCCCTTTTTATAAAGCCAAATACTAAAGACAACCAAAAATGAAATGCAGATTAGCGCAGTGCATGTTTAAAGCATCCTTTACACACTCTTATAGCATAAGAAGCTTCAGCTGTCTTTTTTGATAACCATATGGCTATTTCCAACCCCTTTCTGGACTGTTTCCTCATGTGCTTCACCGAGTGCTCCTGACTCAGTCTCAAACACCCCGCAGTCGCTCCGTGCACTCAGACTGTCTACAAAAAATGCCGATGGCTGCAAAACACAAAGGAACCAGCGAGAGCTGCCAACATGTCTTGCCCCAGATCTAAGACCAAAACCTCTCTCCTCACCCACCTGGTGCACAACACTGCCTGAAAGCAGCAGCTTGTTGAAATACTTGTTGAGCTATTCAAGAAACAACCAGTTCAACCTCTAATACTTTCCAATACCAGATTCATGGAACACACTCTTCATCATCCCATTAGTTCACCATTAGTCCGTCAAATCAATTTAAATGCTAAATGTAATCAACATGATATATATATATAGATGAAAGCATTAATGCTTTTCATATGAGGCAATATTGCTCAAGAACTGGCCGCACTTCATAAACATTAATTCAGGACACTGTGTCTTAATAAATGATTAATCAAATTAACTTGGAAATCTCAAAATAAGATTTCCAGCTGTATACCTGTTATACAAATAAGTGCATGTGGTAAAATTATAGTATTTGCTACAATTTCCATATATATAAATACAGTATATGTAAAAGGTGGGAATAATGTTCCATAAGGCTGTTTCTCGTTCTGAGCTGGTTAAATATCTCATGATCTGCGTGGCGAGTTCTGCGTCAAAAGACTGTTTTTTTTCACTACCACCGAAACTGCAGATACCGTGTCCACCACATTTCAGAAGCAAAGTCCTCTCTCTTACCTTCAGCCCCAGCCAGGTCTTGGCTGCCTAACTCTGCAAAGTGTTGACCCTTTCCCTGGGCTAGCAGGCTCAGCCGATGACACAATGAGCACCTATATGGCCTCACGTAGCACAAAAACATAGCAACCAGGCAGTCTTATACACACACGGGTCAGGATGTTGCACTGTGAACAGAGAGGAAATGCATTTGTAACAGTGGTCAGATGGCTGTGCATTTACAAAAGGATGCCTTTATATTTTATAGATTTCAACAGTACCTGTAAAGTAGAAGACAGAGGCAAAAGACAGTGGGGAATCTCTGGTACTGGCACATGTGCATAGAAGAACATAGTCCTCCTGAGATCAGGTCTGTTCTATAAGAAAATGTATGGAAATTCAGAAAATAACACACATTCCACAAATTATCACTATCTGCAAAGATCAATTAGAACATCAGCGGACAGGATAAAAGTGTGAGGAGTGACCTTTCTACAATTCATTTCTTTGTCAGAAATGTGATTCATTGAAATCAGAAATCTTTTCAATCTGTATTTTCAAACTGGAGCAGTGGTTGCAGGAGCTGTTTTTTCCACACAGACAAATTATCCAAACATGCTGGAATAACCTGAAAAAAAACAAACAGTTTAACCTATTTTCTGCTGGAAAACGACGAAAAATTTCAATTACATTGGTTTAAGTTTTGTACTGTATATGGAATATCTGCGAGGTGTGTGGTTATTCAGATGACCTTAGGTGAAAGAAAAAAAAAAACCTCCTGAAATATCTAGGGCAATTTGAAGTGCTCTTACATATGAAAATGGAGAGATAGCACCTCTGAGCAGCAGATTGTGGAGATTAAAAAGACTGCTTTTCCTGTCTACTCCCCCTCCCGCAGGCAGCACTCACAAAAACACAGCGGTCAGGTGACTTCCAGCAAGGGCAAGCAGTGTGGTCACATGGCTTGGGCCTGCAGGTGACTCCAGCCAGTTGCTGAGCAGCCTCCTCTGACCCACTGCACTGAGAGGTCTATCACTCTGCATGGGCCTCAGACCTCACCGTAAGTGCTCAGGCAGTGTTCACAGACAGCGAACTGCGCTGGCGCTGGCACGGAAATAAAAACCCCATTGCCATACACCAGGGGTCAGGTACATAACACAGTCAATAAACACACCTATTGCAGTTGCTCAGCGGTGCAAGGCAGGAGCAGCACACGCAGCAGAAGAGCTTTCCGATTCCTTCATGGCAAAGGTACTACCCTTCCTAACAGAAGTCACAGATAGCTGCTGGTGCTCCCATCTCAAATATAATCCCTCTGAGCGCTGTTTGGCGTCTCCACCTGTTGTTTTGGTTGTTAAAAGCAGAGCATTTCCTGTTTATTACGCTGCTTTGTGTTCAACACACACAAGGGACATGTGACTTCCAGCACTATTGCTAGGACATGTCACGTGGCTGTCAAAATAAAAGCACGTGTATGTGTTTATGAATATTTTTGTTGCTGATAATAATAAACCATTGTCTCACATGTGGTCACAAATTCCTCACCAACAGCCGGTGTTACTTGCACTCAGTTGAAGAGCCTTTGAAAAAACAACACGCTGCAAGGATTCATGGAGTGCTTCCTAATCCAAAACTTTGAGGAGAATTAAAAATCACATTATTTCTGGTTTGGCTAAACCCCAGATACCACGCGGCTCTTAGCAGAGAGTTGGCTGAATAGCAAAATGGGTTGAACTGGCGGAGAGATACGGGTATGTTATATGATTTCAGAATGAGGCTTATCAGAAATTTTTTCCCAACACATGTATACTGGCCTTTTTAAAAAATGAAAAGATTGTAGTGTAACAAACAATTTTAACTCTAATAAAATTATATCTGACTCACACTACCATCATAAAAAGACATTAGTTTAAAACTTCAGTGGCTCTTTAGGACAAACTGACATTCTGGTGTAACAGCATAGTGCATACTTCCCTAATTAGCCTGTACAGATTGGTACTGCCTGTAAAGGATGTGGGCACTGCGTATGGCATAGCTGAAGCCTAGGCATAGGGGATGCTTTAATCATTGAGGTGGCAACCACAAACCCACCATGCATCACCATCTTAAAATCCCTGTTGTTAAAACTCTTCATGACTAAACTTTCTCACCCTACATGCACATTTGAAAACTGAAGCATGACTTAAGCTTCACACCCAATTTTCTTTGGAAATGTTTTTATTATTTTGACACTGACTCCTAACGGAAGGGAAATTCTGCACCAGTATCACCCAAGGCTATCTGGATAAACCCTGCCTGAAATGAACCACAAATGGCATGTGCACACTTTTCAGCTAATCCACAGGTTCCTGTGTACTGTTCGTTAGGGCCTCGATTTCCAAATCATTTTAAACAGAGACAGTGACCACAGCTCCTAAAATCACAATAAAGAAAACTCAAATATAGGAGTGAGAATGGCATGCATTAAGAAAAAAAGATGGAGAGTATTGATTTCTCTTCCTTGGAGTGACGCACTAAGATTTTCTGGGCTCCTCCTGGAGTAACTCAATATGAAATTGGAAGCTAAATTTTTAAAACATCCAAATGCACAAGCCAAGTCCGCACATACAAAGATAGGCCTTAGGAGCAAATTGACAAAGAGCTGAGTATCCAGTCACAAGGTAGGTAAATATTTAAATTTTGATTTGGTGGAGAAACCAATTCCAAATGCTGCCTTTGAAAAAGAAAATTTAAACTCTTCCCTCTCTTGTATGCAAGTAATAAAACAAAAACTGAAACTGAGAGAATGACAGATTTTCCCCATCACCAATTTTTGCAAAAAACATAACCAAAACCACTGAGAGTGGTGGCTTTCTGCCTCCTAATCCATGGGTTAAGATGGAGCCAGCAATGAAGGTCTTTCATGCATGTCTTGACAACAGTGGAGTGGCAGATAGCACTGATTTGAGACCTGTACTCGATTGCCACTTTCTGTGAGGAGCTGGCATGTTCATCTCTGCATTTGCATGAGTTTTCTCTAGGTGCTCTGTTTTTGTTCTCCATCTCTCAGATGCATGCAAGCCCACCAAGGCTGTCCCAGACTCAGTAGCACAACGCACACTAGTGTCCTGGCTGGTATGTAGTAGTGCCTTGTACTCTGTGCTTCTGTGAGAGTCAACGGAAGGCTTTATAATAATAGATGTAACAATAAAAATGAAACAGAGTGAACACCAGGGTCTGATTGTCAATGTTTTGATTCAAAGCGACACAGTACATTTTAAAGTGGTCCAAAAACATTGTAGACACGTCAGAACCACGTCTCTGCAGCAACACAATGAATTGAAACAGTCACCATGGGTCCTGTAAAGTGAGATCATGCTTAGCAACCTTCCTAACCATTCTGAAGATGTGTGAAAATGTTTTAATCACACACATTGCTTCTGTATTGGCAGAGTCATTGAACAGTATCCCATTCATTCTAAAAAAGTCTTGAGCTTAATTTGGTAGGAACGAATAGCAAAATTAAATGTCTTATCAGCCCAGAATACAGAAAGAAATCCTAAGTGGAATGTTGGCAATGAAAAAATTGTGCCGCACTACTTAGTAATAAGTTTAATATACTGATCATACTGAAGATAAAACAGATCCATGCACAAACAGGAAACTAAACTTGCCAACAATACAAATTAAAAGCAACAGTGAGGTATAATTAGAATATGGATGATCTAGATAAGATCCACACTGAAAGGCTGAAATACAGTATTTCATGTGTATATTTCCCTTTTGTTATGCCAACTTTCAATTTAAATAAATTCAAAGATTATATCAGTCATTCATTATCTCTTTATTTTCTCAATGGTTTGAAAACTATTAAACCAACATTTTGAACATGAGTCAGGAAATATTTTGACCACAAATGACCATCTGCTATCTTCAAGAAAACTGAGGTCAAAATATTTGCTTCATCAATCTAACCTGTGGAAACCTTGCAGATGAAAGTGAACAGATAAAGCAGGCCCTGGTTTAAGCTGAAGAAAGACAGACATAAAAAAACCTTCTCAGAAGACAACAGACCTGGTGTTTGTCACCTGAGAGCTGAGACTAAAACTTAAACTAATAATGATAATTCCTCACACTTACAGTATATAGCGCTTTTCTGGACACTCCACCCAAAGCGCTTTACAGGTAATGGGACCTCCCCTTCAATACCACCAATGTGCAGCCCTACCACACACCAGTTATCAGTGGGGAGAGAACAGAATGATGAAGCCTAAAGTCAATAGGAAACCAAGCATGTGAATAAAACAAGAGCAATTACATTTGATGTAAGTAAAGGTCATTTTAGATGGTATGGTGTTGTACATTTTCCCTCTCCATAAATGGCACAGATAGAACAATGGGGGAAATGACTGAAAGTAGTAATTCACTAGGCTCACCATGTAAACAAGTCAAAGCTATAATTCAAAAGGCCAAACACTCTTGGCTACATAAAAAGTACAGAATACAAATCAATTGATTTATAGTGACACTATGCAATACGTGTTAAGACCTCATCTGAATTACTGCACACAGTGCTGGTCAGCATGTTACAAAAGAAGACAACTCATTCCAGCTAGGAGGACATGTTGAAGGACCGTAAGCTTCTCGGCCTCAGCAAAAAAGCTGTGGGTTCTCAAATTACAGCAAACTATCAGCGAGCACAAGACAGATGCATAAATGGAAATGCATACATATTAGAAACTTTGTGGCTTTTTTAATGTAACAAAAATGTTCACAAAAACAGCATATAGTTAGAACTTTTAACCACAATACAACAAGTGGAAAAGCCCAGATCCTAATCCCCACCCCCACTCAGGACGGTACTGTGTCCTGTCCTGAGAGGCACACATCAAAAGTCAGCCGACATGAAAGACCAGTTAAAAAGAAAACAGACAGTGGAAAGAAAAGGTCAAAAACTAAGACTGCAGCAGAAAATGTATCATTTCTATTGCAGGCTCATATGGGAGTGAAAAGTTCATCTCTAGACTTGCTCAACCAGAAAACGTTAGAAACAAAATATCCAAGAAGGAATGATCCATCGACGCCAGGAAAAAATGCAAGCCTGTAGAACCTGCAAGCCAGACTTTTTTGGGGGAAATAATTTCAGTGCAGAATCATCTATCAATAGGTGCAGAAAACTTCTGTATCTAAGCTCATCTGTTATAAAGTAGAATTACTTTTCCTCCAAAACAAGTGAAGCTCTTGACACCCCCAATCCTGAAGGGTTCCCTCAAATGGCCTGAGTGTATAGAGTTCATTGGGGAGAATCAGGCAGTTGCATTAAAAAAATATTACAGTATATTGGGGTTAAGTACTTCCTATGGATATGTTTGTTAACTTTGTGATCTGGGTTTTTGGA